TGCTCGGGTTATTGTATAAATTGTGTTCATGTCGATAAACCACGGGCGATACCTTCCTTATCGATTAAACTCGGAATGAACCTCTCTCGCGTCGCGTTTGAAAATTTTCGTCAATTATTGAGATTAATCAATCGCGAACATTGTTGGAATTCGGGCGTCAAGGCCAAGCGCTGGTTCCGAGAAATGACGTAGCTTCGTAAACACCTCGGTCGAAACAAGTTTTTTCCGGTGTGCCTAATCATTCGGCGCGGCACAGTCGAGCGAGGCGGACGTTCCGCGTGTGTTCTCCAGTGAGAAATGATTTGTCGATCGACGTCGAAACGACGTCGAATCGACATCGACACCGTCGAATTGGCGTCGATTCGACATCATTTCGACGTCGATCGACGAATCATTTCTCACTGGGTCGCGTCGCTTCTCGTAACGCGATTTTAGTTCTTACGAAGATGTCGATCATCTCCTACGCAACGCGATCGTCCCGTACAAAAGTTCTTAACATTTCTCAATCGCGATCCGTAATATCGTCGTGCGGTGATTTTGTCGAGACGAATATCACGCGTAATGTGAAGTAGAAACGCGATTATAAGGGAATTTATAAATTGTTCATGTCGATAAACCACGGGCGATACCTTCCTTGTCGATTAAACTCGGAATGAACCTCTCTCGCGTCGCGCTTGAAAATTTTCGTCAATTATTGAGATTAATCAATCGCGAACATTGTTGGAATTCGGGCGTCAAGGCCAAGCGCTGGTTCCGAGAAATGACGTAGCGTCGAAAACACTGGAAAACACCTCGGTCGCAAACAGCTTCTTTTGCATTGAGTCTAACAGTCGGCGCGGCACAGTCGAGCGAGGCGGACGTTCCGCGTGTGTTCGCGACGCTTCTCATTACGCGATCAGTTCTTACGAAAATGTCGATCATCTCCTACGCAACGCGATCGTCTCGTACGAAAGTTCTTAACATTTCTCAATCGCGATCCGTAATATCGTCCTGCGGTGATTTTGTCGAGACGAATATCACGCGTTAAATTGTCTTCATGTCGATAAACCACGGGCGATACCTTCCTTAACGATTAAACGCGGAATGAATCTCCTCTCACGTCGTACTTATTTTTCGTCAATTATTGAGATTAATCGATCGCGAGCATTGTTGGAATTCGAGGTCAAGGCCGAGCGTTGGTTCCGAGATGTGACGTAGCGTCGAAAACACTGGAAAACACCTCGGTCGCAAACAGTTTTTTTGCATTGTGTCCAACAGTCGGCGCGGCGCAGTCGAGCGAGGCGGTTGCTCCGCGTGTTTTCGCGTCGCTTCTCATAACGCGATCATTTCGTACGAAAGTCTCGATCGTCTCGTACGAAAGTTGTGAACATTTATCAATGGCGTTTGTGTAATTGTCGCGCTCCGTAATATTGTCGTTCCGCGGTGATTCGTCGAGACGGATATCACGCGTAATGTGAAGTGAACGTCGCCTATTGAAACGAATCGCAACCGTGCGCGGCGGTTCGTCGTGTCGCGTCGCGTTCGGGAGTGCCGTTTAGATTATCGTATTGAAAACTTCGAAAGCCCATTTGAACTCGAGCTTAGTAAACGGGAGTGCATTGTATCGCGCGAAAAAGTGACGCGTAATGTGAAGTGAACGTCGCCTATTGAAACGAATCGTAACCTAACCGTGCGCGGCGGTTCGTCGTGTCGCGTCGCGCTCGGGAGTGCCGTTTAGATTATCGTATTGAAAACTTTGAAAGCCCATTTGAACTCGAGCTTAATAAACGGGAGTGCATTGTATCGCGCGAAAAAGTGTACTTTTGTCAAGTGTACGCGAGTATTGACGGAGTCTCGTGGGACGAGAGGACAACCTGAGAGGAGGAGCAGGTCCAGGGAAGACATCGGGCGCCGGCGAAGCAACTTTAGGTAAATGTTTTTTATTTAATGTAAAATAAATCTGTTTTTCCAGTTCATTTTTCAGTAGTTTGATCTCATCATTCTAGAATTTCGAAATAATACAATAATTAGAGAACAAGAAACAATTTCAAACTTCATAAAAGTTTACTCTGGTAGAGTACTTTGCGGAAAATCTTGTGTGCCTCAATTATTTAACTGTTATACCAAATGAAACGTTTAATGCACACAAGAATTACTTGTATTATACAATATGACTTTTTTGGAACATTGTTTTAATAAATTATATATTTACCTGTTACAGATGCAACGTCGTCAACTCCGCTGCTGCGCATCGGACGGTGAGTTTGAAATTTTTTTATTGTGGCAACGGATTTACTTAT